TGACAGCATGAATTTGTAATAGATCAAGTCATCATAAGTCTCCACCTTCTCCCATCTGTGATAATACAGAATTAGGAGTGTAAAAATCAAATACTGGGGAGAGATTCAATATTGAGTATTTGCTTATGGGCTTGGCAAAAATCTACCATTGAGATAAAACAAAAAGCAAACTTAAATCTGATGTAACTTTTGAGGGTCCCGACACACTAAACTACAAAGATATTCTAAATGTGGAAGTTCATAATGCTTTAAAATAGCTAGTAAAATATTTCCAGAAATTTGTACTGTAAAATTGACCAGATATCCTTTCTTAATGGCACTCTTAGTGTTCTATAACAACAATATCCTAACTTTTTGAGGTGCCTTACAGTTCATACAGCACTTTCGTATATACTATCCCATTTGATATTCACAACTCCAGGCACTACTCAACCTGAGTCAGGGTAAAGACTTTAGAATATATGAGTTGCTTTCAACTTTGTCCCTGTCTCTGTCAATCAGAAGCTTTCTCTTGCCCTACCTACCATTTATAATAAGGGCTTAGGAAGTTATGGTAATATTATGAGAGGAAAAAAAAAACCCCACACTCCATTTACTATGCATTTTTGGGAGTTTGCTTCTGCCTATGATTTTGTTCTCACATTTGCCTTCTGCCTAGATATAAAAAGCTGAGTTTTGCCTAGGGCTGAGGTTCACCTAAGAATGACCTCCGCACTAAAGAACTTTGCAACCTACTTTTCTTTGGGTTTGATAAGATTCTAGGCTAGTTGCAGCAATATAATTAAATACATTCCAAGTATTGAAGTTCATTCAAATAATTCAGCAAAATATACTGTCTTCTCTATGCAAATACCACAATATGTGCTTAATTTTTACAATATCACAAGGGAAATAAGACATTTTCAGGGAAGAAACAAAAGTTTTATGTGATTGCAAACTCAGGATGTGTAAGCATAGTGATATCACTGTCAGAAAAGCTAATGTGCTCTTGGGCTGTGTTACAAGATACCTGGAACATAGAGCAAAGATGGTGATAAGACTACTCTGTTTTTATTTTATTTTTTTTCAAAGTTATTAAATTTACTATTGATAGAATATTATAATCTAATCACAGTCCACATTCAAATTTTGATAATCACTCCAATTGTGTCTTTCATAACAATTACTTCCCCATCCCAGGGTCATCTGTTACATTTTGTTGCCATATACTGTGTTTTTCTCTATAATCTTATTATATTTCCCACCTGGTGTGTTCACCTATGGACTCAGAAAAAGTAGAGCTATCCCGAGGAGTGTCCAGAGTGATAGAGGGACTCAAAGCAATGTTATATCAGAAGTATTTGAAAGAACTAGAAATATTTAGCCAGAGAATTGAATGTATACAGGCAGCAGAAAGATTATCATTATTGTGGATGACCAACAAAGGGGAAAATTAAGGCCTTTGTATTGACCTGACATGAGGCAGGTTTGGGCTCAGAATGAGTTAAGGCTTTGGGTTACTTCATGAGGGTCTTAATTTACTATTTATTAAAAGATAAACAACTTCTTGTCAAGAGCTTCAACATTAGACAAGGGATTGAATTAGGATATATTTAAGGCCTTTTTCAAATTTTAGTCTTATTCTTCATGTATACTAATAACTTTTAAATCATAGTGTGATTGTGTCTGTGGATAACTATAAACAAATCCCCATGGAATAAAACAAAAGGATTTTGGCCGAGGGACTATCTATAGAGACTGTACCATTTAAATTGAAGCTTGAATGATTGGTAGGATTTTGACTGTAATATTGGGCACCTCATGCTAACAATTAAATTATTTAAGTGTATGAAGGTTGTAATTATTCACAGTGCAACTTAAGTATGATTAAAAGGCAGAATTTTCATTTTATCTAAAACTGATTTGGTCATCTTCATGAAATCACACTCACTGATATAGAAGGGAGGGGGAGTATGTTTTTAGTCTAATCTAGGAACCTGGGTTCAATCAGTATTTTAATTAGTTCCTTTAGGTAAAGTTAATCCTTTTTAGGTAAGATCCTCAGTCTTTCAGATTTCTACCTTTTCCCCCCGCCATCCAATTTTAGATTATATTTGGGAGTACCAGGAGAGGGGAGCTTCCATTGCCTTCAGGCATGGGGACAAAGCGTTACCGGGTTTCAATAAAGTCTTTTGCCTCTTCTGGTCTCCGTGGTGATATTCTTTGTATACCTACTTGCTTCTGGTCTTTCACTTGAAGATCATAGCTGGAGAAACTCATGGTTTGTGCTTTCTCAGTTTGGTCAGGGCCTGGTAGTCATTTCTGATAGGTTTCATCTTCTTGATGCTTTAGACATCCCTGGCCTAGGTCCATCCTGCCGTTTCTGCTAGAGAATTCCCTTCCTCTTTTGACATCAGACTTCATGGCAGGTCTGCTAGCTCTCAACTCAGCTGCTTTGTGAGTACACAGCAACTTTCGGCAGTTCTGGAAAGTAAACTCCTACCCTCCCTCCACCTATGATGCCCTGGTACAAGGTTATTTGAATGTGGTAGCCTCAGCCTGGCCATGTGATTTCCTTCCAAAGATGTAGGAATTGGGGCAGATATTTTTCTCTCCTTGAGTTTTCCCATACCTATTTGGATATTTCTAAAGCTACCTCAATTCACAGCCTCAAGGTAAGAATGAGTAAAAATGTTGGTTGTCTTTCTTGAGCACTTTTCCATAATTCTCTGAGCCGAAGAGAATGGAATTTTCTTCTACTTTACCTACTTCATTGCCACCATCTTTCTTACATAATCTCTGGCCTGAGCCTTATGATGGACTAGCATATCTTGTCTTCACTGTGGGAGAAACTCATCATTTGTACCACTAGGCCTAGCCTTGATAGTGATATCATAAGCCATAAACAAATTTACATTTTATCTTTGGATGATGCCTTAATTTGAAGCCTAGCTGAAAAAAATTTTAACAAGCTGAAAAAAAAATTCCTGTATTGAATGTCAAATATTAACTCTTTCTTTTGTGTTTCTTATGTAGCCTAAATCCTCAGCAAAAAGGTGCCTTGGTACCTAGAAAGTCACGTTAATATTTCTCAAAACATTACTCCCTTTTCCCATTACACAAATATTCTGGCCCACAAATCTGATCATGCTAACTTGCCATTTAAAGCCTTTTAATAATTTTCCATTCTCTTAAAATAAAATCCTTTTAGAAGCTTTCCTGACTAACCAGACTAGGTTAGGACCCCTGTGAGTACATCCGCAAGTTCCCACACTTCCTCTTTCATAACAATCATCGTAATTTTACTTTTTCAATGTGTTTCTTTCTTAACAGATTTGAACTCAAATTTTCCAATATCTAATATATTGATCTTAGACATAGCAGGTGCTTAATAAATATATGTATGAGTTACAGTTTTAATTACAAACATGAGCTATATATTTCACCTGTAAATCAATAAATTGCTAATTTAGTTTACACAGCTCCTTTTGAGATTTGTAAATTTGATACTAGTACTCTGAAAGATGAACCCATTGTGGTTGGACTGGCAATAGCAATTTCTAGTCCAATTTCTAGAACCAGGCTTTAGAACACAGGAAATTCACCAGTTGAGTGCCATCTTGTCGTATTTCTTGACAAGTAATAATTTATCTTCTCCTTGGGGACACCCCCACCTAACACAAGAATTCTCTCAAACTACAAAGAGGAGATCCATCTTCATTAATACCTAAGTTCATAATGAGGACACTTCACTTTAAAATACCGAATTATCTTCCACAGGTTTTTATCAACTTGCAGTTGTGTCAAGTTTTCACTCAGGCTTATTTTACCTTAAGCTGGTCCTTCTGTCTTATGAGGCTTCAATTAACTAGATTTAGTCATATTAAGACTACATGGATGTGGCTAGAAAGGGTTGCATATGGTAATCTATATGTAAATTGTTACTTTATTGGTTAACACTTACGTTTGAAATTGGAAAATCAATAAAAAGGAACTTTAATTTAGTATACGCATACACGCTAAAAAAAAGGGGGGGGAGGGGGAGACCATTTTTGATCCTGAGATAGCAACAAAACTAAAAAAGTATTCCAAAGAAGAAAGGCAACAGAGGTCAATCGGCTGTGACCTGTGTCTATTTTATTGTAAATACATTTGCACCCCCCACTAAGTGTATTGCTGAATCTTAAATGCCACTAAAAACAATGGGCAGACAAGTTTAGGGTAACTTGAGGGAGCATTTTCCACTGCGGAAAAGGTTCCTTCTGTGTCCCTGAGGGCATGCATGGTACTGTTTTTCTTGCCCCCTTCACTGCTGGAAGGAAGGAAGGAAGGAAGGAAGGAAGGAAGGAAGGAAGGAAGGAAGGAAGGAAGGAAGGAAGGAAGGAAGGGAGG